ATCTTTTTTTTTAAATGATCTAAAGTAACCTTTTGATAATTCAAATTAATGTCACATAAAATTTGAAGAAAATATATATCATTTTAAATTTTAGAAAACATATAATTTCATGTCAAAAACATTTACAAAAAACTAAATTAACGTCAAGAACATCATTAGAAGGATAATGTATTTTCAACATTTTTTTTATCAGGTACTACTGTTAACTATAAAATGGCATTAATAAATAAATAAATTAAAGCGTATCGTTAACATTTACCTTTCGTCTATAGTGTTAGTATTATCAACCAACTTCATTTCATTATTTTTTGGCACTTCTTCCTAACAGCCAGTTTTCACATATTATTTTCTACATGTACCAATAAATAAAAGAGTTATATTATTTTCTCGATAAATTTTTATAATAAATATTCATATTAACAAAATTCTTTTACCTCTCTTTACCACATCATTCATCTTATTATTACTTTTCTTCTTATCTAAACTAATTATCGTTTCTCTTAATTATCATTCATCGTATTGTACAAATTTGTTTATAATTATGATTTCTCTTAATAAAAAAATTAGGTTTAACCAGTATCTACTTGTATGTAACTATGGATGAGGGAAATATCAATCGTTTTGTGAATTACTCAAAGAGCTCAGAAGTATTAATTGTTGGAACATACATAAAATCTAAATCCCGTAAGTTACAGATGCATAGTCCTTGGCCTCGTACATGATCATATAAACATCATATAGACAAACATTTCATTGGAGACTAGCCCGCTTTCAAATAATAAGCAAAAAGTATTATTAAATGGGATCGGAGAAGATGATAAGAAAGTTTAGGGCAAGGGAAATTGAAATACATTAAGGTCTAATCACACATTAGCAAACTTGAAATGTAGTTTTGTAGAGATGGAAATATAGTACGTAGTGGAGTGAAAATGGGATGACGAGTATCAGCAAATTATCACTCCATCTTCATGTTCCAATTCAAAAGGGATCATACATGTTTTCAACTTATTAATTGATCCATACCTAAAAAACTTAACAAAAATCTAACTTCTTTTAAGCGAAGAGATACGTAATATAAGAAAATAAAGATACATTCACCGCTGATTCAAAATAAGCTAACTTTATAAAGTATTTTATTTTAAATCAACGGCAAATATAGTGACTTTCTCATTTTTCTTATCTCCTTAATTTAGAAGAAGCAAATCCAGGTTAAAGCTTAATTTATTGAGTGTTTTAGGATTTCTTGGGGGAAAAACATTGCCTCCAAACAGTTACCAATTTAACATGGCTAGTGATGTTGAGAATCTGGTCCTTCGGGTGAGACTCTCTTCAAATTTGCACCTAGCATGGACCTTTCTCCGTGGTTACGTAAATTGTTGATCAATTCACGTAAACGAAGTTCACGGGTAGCCTTTTTGTCCGTTGTTGAGAAGTGAGGGACAAGTCTTGCCTTTGAACTCACAGCAAGAAATGTTAGAGAAATTAGGAACAAAATCAACACAGTCCTCCTTAGCTTCAATGAAGTAGCCATTGTCTAACAAGAACACAAATGGCAATTAAGACAAGTAGCTATATATATCACTCTAATTATTAAGTGATGAAGTATCTATGAGTAGAACAAACACAACCTATTTATACCCATGAAGGGTCCTTTAAGTTGCATTAATATACAAGTGTCCTATTGGAAGGTCGTGTAAGCAGATAACTATGATCCATGCAGCATTTGTCTTATCTGGCTTTAGGTTTCTCTACCAAGTTCAAATTGTTGCCATAAATCTCACATTAATATAAATCTCTCTTTTATTTCCTCTACACCGTACGTCCAAACCAAATCCATTAATCTTTTATTGATCTTTACAGCGCTAGGCTTGAATTATTAACAACGTTGAACAAAAAACAAAACAAAAAAGTAATGAAAGACAAAAAACCCTATAGCTATAGTCCACCCTGAATGGCTTTGTAGCATATCATATCATATCATATCATATCAATGTAGATATGGGATGAAAAGCTTTCATGCTTTCTCCACAATCACAACGCCACGCAGGAAATGGCTAAGGCCAGCAAGCTGTTTATTTGGCTTAAATGCCGCCATTGCATTAATGGGATACGTTTTTCATTTGCCCCATTTCAAATTTTTTTTCTTTAAGCTTTTTTATTGCCTTTTCCTTTTGGTAAAGATTCTTTTAAGCATTTTGGTTTATTTAATTTGACAATGGGATGCGGCCCAATGACAAGCCGTGAAAGTTGACCTCTCTCTGTCCCATGTCAACTTTCAACAAAAGATAACACAAAATACATTATGATTCCTTCAGATTCTTTGTTGGATCTTTGACTTTTTTTAGGTTTCCATGTTTTGCATTCTTTGTGGGACAATTAACTGAGTTAACAAACACCAACTCGGTACGGTACGCCAAAATTATATCATATGAAATAAGCTATTTGATCCCGCCAACCACGCTCCAAACATTGACTTACTCATTAAACACTAAAAGAAATTATTAAAAATTACGTTAAAAATTATAAGAAGACTATATTTCTAATATTTTTTTTATTTTTAATCAGCACTTAAGAAATTTATTAATATTTTTTATTTTATATGAAGTGTTTTTTAATTAAATAAAATGTAATTAAAAAACTCAATACTTTTATTATTTTTCAAATAATGAATATTTGATTATATTTAATAAAATAAATTCAAAAAATAAAACATTTTATTTTACAATCAAATGGGCTGAAGTTTGAGCAATACAACTACACGATTAAACTTAGGGAAGTAAATTCCAAAGTATCCTCTCTAAAGATGGGGAACAAGGGCACTTGGAGGACTTACCAGAATCCACGGTTCAATATCTAAGAGATGAGCCAATTTTGTATGACAATTCATTGCTTTATTGGCCTCTTTATTCAACAGATTATTGATGTTGTTAATCAGAGCAAAACAACGGTGAGAACGCTCCCATCCTTTAACATAGAGCAACCACCCAGATTGCAAAGAAATATTCTATAGAAGTGCCCCTAGATTCTCTTATCATACCATCGCAACTGCAAAGATTGAATCATCAATATTTAGTTTTAAGGTATCCAATGGGGAGGAGGCCAGCCAATAAGACAGTCTTTAAGCCTTAGTTGAATCAAGTTTGGAAGTGGAATTATGAGATCACACTTTGAACAAAGTTAGCATAGCTAGGAATTTGATAACTCCTTATTCTGAAATTTTCAGTCTTCTGAGAGAATACTAAACTATTCTTATCTTTTCAAATAAACCAAACAGCTGTACCAAATTAATAAAATATCTCATTTGCAAGGCACATAATTCATACTGCTCATTAAAATATTCATGAGCAACTAAAAACAAAGGCCTCTACCAAAGAAGTTGCACCAATGCATCTAAGCAATTAAAGTGGTCTAAAGATCGTGAACATGAGAACAATCTCTAAAAACATGCATAATAGACTGAGAATATATTTTTACGATGTGATCAAACACGTATTTGAATTCAAATATAGTGATTTGAGTACTGAGATTACTATTTTTATTGTGAATAGTTTGATCCTACAAAAACTGAAGGCACTGGAATCCATCCAAAGTATAATACTTATTGTAGATATATTAGGATGAGTAGAGAAGGCCAGACAAGCATATTACACTCCCTACTTGAAAATGTGTAAAGATATGCATGGTTAGTATGTTGCAATGACAACAAAATCAAAGGATCGTGTAGAAGTTGAAGACATCAAGGATACAGTGCCCTATTAGACTAATAAAATGGCACATATTTTACTAATTACATAATGCGAAAGAAGAGACGACTTACTTGACTAATCAATAAATGATTATGAACTAATATTGATCCAACTATATATGAACCAATTGTTCAAGGCAATCAATCTGAACATAATGAAGATGATTTGGTAGATAAGAGTGATGACAAATAAATAGAGGAGGAAGAGGAACAAAATAGAAATGGAGAGGACAAGGAAGGCAAGGAAAACAAGAATTAAGACAAATCGATATGAAAAACTGACCTCGCTGCTAATCGATGTGAAAAAGTAGCACTAGTCATATCCAAAAACAAAAACTTCGCAACATCCGTTTTAGTGTTAAGTATGTCTTAGTATCGTTTTTTTTTTTTTCTTTTTTATGTTAGCATAGGTTTTGACTGACGCTAACATGCATTTGTCAACAGTGTTTTAACTTGTGAATTTAAGAACTTATATGAAAAGATGACGTGTCAAATTTTAAAAAAATATAAGATCCTAAATATTTTTATTATAAATAGATTAAGAATTTGATAATTTTTAAAAGAAATAAAATAGTAACTTCGTGTATACTTAATGTCATAATATTTTTTATAAATTACATTTTATTAATTTAAAAAATATATATTTGTTCTTCCTCCACTCTTTAAAATCTCACACTGAAACATGCCTTACAGTTAGTTTGTTGAAGTATGATTTGTTTGATACTTTTAGTGGTCAATACAATTTTAAGTCTCTAATTCAATGCATTTTTCTTTCTGGGCACGTTCGGCTATTAATTTCTCGACTTAAGCGATAGAGGATTTAGTAATGATACCATTGCTCCATTGGCCTTTAACCAAAATCTCACTCGCAGAGTCAAGAAATTAGCAGTGCAAGTTATGTAGTTTAGGGACTATGAAATATGATTTTCAACTTTTGTTTGATGAGTTTTATAAATAATTTCATAGATTTTAATAAAATTTCGTCAATAATAAAGAGTCCTCAAAATAGTATATTTAAGACTGTAATTAATATTTCTTTTATTACAATTACATATTGGTGCATGTAAGATTTAAGTGTTGTAATTAATTAAAGGATTAGTTCTAAAATTAATAAATTTATATAATTCAATATTTTGATCCACAAAATAATTGTAAATTAAATATACAAACCTTAAAATCTTTGATAAGTTGACAATCATAATATTATTATTAGTCAACACTTTTTTTTTTCATTCAGCTCTAAGATAACTATTCTATTAAATTTTTATTAATTTGATATAATAAATATAAGATATAATGTTTTTAACATGTACATCTCATTACTTGTTTTATGCTTGAAAGAAACATTAATAAATGACTTTCCACACATTTAAAAATTATATGATGTACAATTTTATAGCACAATGCGTGGATCTATTCAAAGTCTTCATTAATCACGAGTATACAACTTAAGACTAAGATACAATATATACAATTACGTAAACCAAATAACTACTCTGGCAGTAGGGGCAATCTATCTAAGCTGTTGACTGAGCCACTGACACTTCCATTAGAAGAGGCAAAATCATCAAATTCAACATCGGACTCAGAAGTTTCACAAGTTTTTACTTCATCCGTCTCATAATGGGATGGAAGTATGCGCAGATATACACCTGACTCTGCACTGATTCTCCTTGCTTCTAGTTGGTATTTACGAACAAGTTCCAGCTGCAAAGATAATATGCAAGGTGATCTGGGGAGTAGATCCACAGGTTCTCCCTTTGGAATCAATATATGTTCTATAGCCATTCTTGCCTCCTGAAATTGGAATATTGTGTCAAGCATTAACGAGTCTTTTCAGTTCAAGTATCAAATTTCAGTTGTAGAATATCACATGCGTGTTTTGTGTAGTCTTAGCTGAAAAATACAGCAAACATATTGGTACTGGTATGTTATTCATTTCTACTTCATTCTTGTCACAATATCCGTAATCAATCATCAAATATTAGTTTTACAGAAAAGAACGTAACATAAAGGGTAAAAGGAAAAAAATATGGAAAATGGGGCAAAAGATGGGGAGAGGGATTGACCTGTCCCAATTTCATGTCTCCAATAAATTTCACCAATAACTACCAGCAGACTCCCTTCGCTAGATTTCTCTCCTATTTGATTAGATAGAAAAGTTTACAGCATGAAGAAGTACGAGTGAAAGATAATCGTGGTTACCATATGAACATCACCTCCATGCTTTGACAATAGTACCATCATTATGTCATAATTACCTTATTTATCATTATGATTAGCATGGCTAGTTATTGTCATTGTTATGATTGGGTTTTTACTGTCAGGTATGATAATTGTTAGATACCTTAATTATCTCATTCATTATGGTAAATATCGTAATTATCGCATGTGTATCTCTGTAGATATCGATTACCTTACTTTTAGGGATTTGCTCGCTTATTTTGTACCCTATTACATGAGTATAAATAATAGAGACATGTGTGACAACATGCAGTAAATTCTTTTCTCTCCTTTCTACATGGTATCAAGAGCTAGGTAAAAATAAACTATCTACCAAATTAGTCAAATGTAATTTTCTTGGCTACTAACACCTCTAGAAGAGCTATTGTTGCTTTTGTCGTCAACTTCAATGATAAATTTTTGCTGTTGATGACACATTTTTCAAGACTCATTTCTTCTCTCCAGCGGCCCGTGATGCTAATTTTATGCAGAAACTTCAACCTCAGATATCTCCTCTATTCCTCTCGTCAATTGCATAGTTATCTCTATAGTTTAAAGCAGTCCCCTCGAGGTTGGTTTTTCCGTTTCAGTTTCCCTTTGTTCTAGTACAGCATGACAGGGTGTAAGACCGATCACTCTGTCTTCTCCATTCGTTGCTCCAACCAGTGTATCAGTCATATTGTTTATGTCAATGACATTGCCATCGTTGGCAATGACGTGACTATCACTTAGTCTCAAGTAGCATTTATTGTCATTGTTAGGATAGGGGTTTTTACCCATCAAATGGATATATTTTAGGTTTAGTATGATAATTGTTAGATAACTTAATTATCTTAGGTCAATATTGTAAATATCATAATTACATCACGTACATCCTTGTCGATATCAGTTAACTTATTTTTAGGAATTTAGGGTTTAGGGATGTGTGTACATGTACACACATAATTATAAATAAGTTAACTTATTTTTAGGGATTTGATTGATTCTTTTATACCTTATAACATCATTATAAATATTAGAGATGTGTGTATATGAGACACACCAATGCAGTAATTCTTTTTTCTCTTTTCTCTCATTTCTACAATAACTAGCTGCAATATTTATACAGAGATTGAATATACAACACATTAAAAAACAATTTATATTACCTCCAAAGCATCAATTTTCTCTGATACTTTTATCTTGTCTGTCGATACAGAATCCTTTAAACCATCTTCATGATCACTTACTAATGCCCGTATAGCTTTTGTTACTTGCTCCAATGAACTCGTCTAGAAGGAAAAAATATTATTGATTAGCAAAAGTTTATGACAAAGTGTAGCTGTTTAACTGAATAACCCAATTCTAGATAATTATTACCTTCGTCACATAAATGGGAATATCATGAGACTTGGCAGCAGCCTGAATCCCTGGATTCTTTTTAAGCTTGGATTGCAAGGCAAGTAAAGCATTTGCTTCACTAATATTATCAGTCAATTGAATGGCCGCATCATTCATTTTCAACTGTTTAATCCCTTGAATAACAGTTGCCTCTAAAATCTAGAATTACTGACCATTCTGTAAGTTAAACAGCCAATAATAAAATATAAAAACAAAAAGAGATTGCATTATTCATTGCTTTGCTTGACCAAAAATTCTGTTAACTCAATATTACCTAGGATTGCAGGAGCTATTTTTGACATACAATGAACAGGGTTTATCTAATTGTCAATAATGTTAACTCAATCTAAAGCAATCTTTCTAGGGATGGAAAAACTTCAAACCTATAACTACAAATAGCATAAGAACTAAGAAACACATAACAGACAAGGAAGCACAACAGAAGTTAACTTGGTGATAATATCAATGTTCATTTCATGCAGTTTTATCTCACGCTCTTAGCTGCTGGATGGATAATGATGCCTTACCCCATAACAAAACAGGTGAAGTGGCAACTTGTGCTCCCAGGAATCCTCTACCAAGTCAATAGGCAACTTCAAAAGTGATTCATTTTGGCTGGTTTGATCATCAGCATCCTCTGTAGCATCTTCAAACGTTAGTTCACCATTTATTTCAAGAGAACTTTCACTAACAGGCCCATTTTGTACAATCTCTTCCTGTTCTTGAGACTTCATCTTGCGTACTTCTACATTTGGAAAACGACCTAACCAACAAATCAAACAGCATAGAGTTATATATCAATCCACAGCAACCATTTATATTGCCAGTGCGGCAGGTTACCAGAAAGAATAGCATCTACAGTTGCTTCAAGGCTAAGGTGAATGCGCAACTCTGTTTTTGAAATAATCTCCACTCCACAACTAAACGTAGATGGGCCTTTCCTCTCCAGTACTGTCTTCTGCACACCCCTGCGACTGGCCTCTTCATCCCCAAGTGTCACACTCTAGAAAACAATAATAGAGAAAAGGAATAAATATATGCCCATATTTGTAGATGTTCATGGTGATTGTAAATTTAATTATTATTAGAACATGGAGTGGAGGAAAAACCATAAATATGTTTTGGCCCATGCTGTAATACTTTCGGTACCCATGCAATAAGTTATGTAATTGCTAGAGATATAACATAACCCTTCATATGTCATTTCACCTAGCTGCTAAAAACTTTTGGAAAGGATGGTTCAAGACATGATGTTCCTTTATGACTAAGTAGTTTAGAGTTTGATCATTGATGCCTTCATTCTAATAAAAAAGTTGAATTTTAACACATGGTAGGTGGGTCTAGGGTTTATGCTTCAAGCCTAAAAGATACGTTGTGATATAAAAATATTCAAGTTCATTCTTCATCTAACAGCTTAACTTCTTGGGAGAACTTGAAAAAAAAAAAAAAGATACTATTTTCCTGAAAAAAATATTGCTAAAAAATGACTAAATCTAAGTCAAATGTTACATACCACAAATCAACTTGGCATCTTGTTTAAGATGTAGGTATATCTCACCTGTATTCCTCCGACAAGCATCTCTAATGAAGGATTCATTATCAGATTTTCAATTGTGACTCCATGAGCAGTAGCAACAAGCTGGATCCCACGTTGTGCAATTGTGGTCGCTGCCATTGCTTCAAGTTTAGTACCAATTTCATCAATTACAATTACTTGAGGCATGTGGTTTTCAACTGCCTCTATCAATACCTGAATAATTCAATACAATAAACACAGGAAGTGTGTCAGATTATGGCTAAGACATGCCTTTCATAATTGAAAACAACCTCTTTTGACTAATGGAATTAAGAAGGAAACGAACATGCAAGGAATGGAATGAACAGGACTACAAAGACAATTGTCATTCTCATCAATCATTTTGCGGTTTAGCTGCTTCCAACAAACAGCATACATTCCGTTACATATTACATGGCTGGAAAAGCTTAGTGCATTTTTATAATTGGTGTAAATTATCTGAGTAGAATGTAATTTGGAATTATTGATTTTAAAATAGTTACTTTTGAAAGAATGAATTTTCTTTTTGTGAATTTCTTTTTTTTTGGGTGAGTTTGAGTTTTATGCTTGGGAATGTTCACCTAAAAGTAATTTCTGTAAGTAGTGTAAAGAACCAAATATTTTTTATGTTCAGAAGTAATGCCAGAGTGGTATCCAATTAAGTTCTTCAACTAAAATTGAACCTACAATTATTACTTGTCCACAGACAAATGTTAACCTGAGTGTTTAAATTGGTACATGCTCAAATGGAAGTATTATAATTTTATCCAAGAACCCTAACGTACCACAAAATTTTTTGACAAACATGCATTGAAAAAGGTTAGAATAAGCTCCAATAGCTCAGAAATATTCTTTGTCCCCACCAAAAATAAAGCTACACTTTTAACATGAAAAAACAAGTAGTCTCCTGCAATTGCAGCTAATACCTTATGTTGCATATCAGAGATGGGGACTTGCATACGTCGAGCATTACCAATTCCAGCATGAGGTATATCACCATCACCCCCAATTTCATTGGAGGTGTCAACTATCATCACACGCTTCTTGTAATCATTTGCCAGCATCCTAGCTATTTCCCTGCAAATATAGAATAAAATACAGAATATATTCAATTTGAAGGGGGGGGGAAATTTAATAATAATGATAATAATAATAATCCACATCAAGAAACTAAGGCCCAATCTGTCATGCACTTTAGCAACAAGGAGACCCAAAAAGGCCAACACATATTGGGTTGAGGTTCTGTTCACAACCCATTCTAGCAAGGGGACTGCTTCACTTAGTGCATCAGAAATAGGGATCATAAGCAAACATCAAAACTATAACATCATATTCTCCAAGAAAGTGTGTGCTCTACAAAAGCATAGTTTGCTAATGAGAATGGAACTTAAACAAAAGATAGAATCCATGCATATCTGTCCATTTTATTTAAGTAACCATTCCATGCATGCCTAGCTCAACTTTTACAGTTGGACAAAAGAATCACTGACCTAATAATTGTAGTTTTGCCAACCCCCGGTGGCCCAATAAGCAACAAAGAAGCTCCATCTTGAACCAAATCTTGCAACAACATAGCACTTCCTGAAATTGCTCTGCCAACTCGACAAGTTAGGCCAATAATTGTGCCCTTGCGATTTCTGATGGCACTGATCCGATGCAATGTCCTGCTGATTCCTGCTCGATTATCAACAGCAAAGTCACCAACCTGCAAGAGATTTCTCTCCCATGAATTAACAGTAACTTGTAAATAATTATTATATCTTTCCATGATCAATCAAAAGTTAGGATCTTACCGAATTATGGTCCCAGTCCAATCTAAAAAATACTATCTGTTTTTTACTTTCCACTTCCATGCTTCTAAGCAGCAATAAATTATTAAAAAAATTTATAAATTGGCAGTGGTTACCACAATTTGAACATTGGTAGTGGTACATTAATCAAATTCACACAGCCAGCTACACCCCAGGAGCACACAAGAGGACTACTAATATACAATTTACAAAGTTGAGATATGCTTGCCCTAGCACAAGTCCTTGGTGAGAGCGCATCAAACCACACCGCTCGGTTTCCAAAATATTAATGTAAAACCAATGAACAGAAACAAAAATTTAAAAAACGCATCCAACAGTAACAGTATTGGAATACCTGAGCAGTGGCATGCTCGATATCCTGAACAGTTATAGGATACTCCGATATCACGAAATCCCCGGAGGGAAATCTAGCAAGCGGTTTCCGCCCCAAATCCATCACCACTTCGATCAACTGCGGCAGCTCCGGGTGGTCGCTCACGCGCCGGCGCATCTCCTCCGGCAACAGCGCCAGCAGCCGCCCAAGCTCCACGCCAAACTCATCCTCGGAAAACACCGAACCGGACCGAACCGGCTGAAAACTCGCTCGCAAACCGAACCGGACCCAACCGGATGAAATCAGAGTTCGAGGAAGTGAAGGAAGGCGTGGATAGTAGGGTTTGGGTGCTATCGAATTGGGAAGGTACGGTTGGGGGTAGCATCGGAGCTGAAGCTGAAGCGGAAGAGTGAACCCCAGCATCGGTTTTGGCGGGAACTGTGAACTCGCGTTTCGTTGTTGCAGTTTCGAGAGGGAAATTCGTTTCTCAAAACGAAAACGAGAACTGAGTTTTCACTTTCGAGGAATTCAATTGGGACTAAACACGAAGGAACATGGTTTCGTGTTTCAATTTTGCTTTGCTTTGTTTTGTTTCATCAGAAAGCAACGGTCAAGGATGAATGGACCAATTTTACTTTATTTGAATAAAAATGTATTGCAGTTATTTTTAAATAATTTTTAAAATGTATTTAATTCTGCACTTTATATTAATAAGGTACAATTACACGTATTTTTTTCATATTTAATTTGGCATGTTTACATTTTTATTTACTTTGACTGTAATTATTCTGTTTAATATAATTTCAATTTTATAAAAAAAAAAAAAGCAAATATTTACTCCATAAATAAATTTATATAACTCAAGTTAGAATAGTCATATTAAGTGTCTTTCGAATATAAAGAGACTAGATTAAAAAATGAAAAAGATTAAGACATTACTTAAAGAATTAAAATCATTTTGAATTAATATCGTTAAGAGACTTATTAGTTTAACCCTTAAAAAGTGAAATGGATGTATAAAGCATATGATGAGATAGGAGGCATGTTAAGCACATGAAATGAATTTAACCAGAGGAAGCAACCGTGTTTGAACGATTTCACTTAGATGCAGTGAAATTAAGAAAAAGCGAAGGAAGTGAAAAAAAGAAACATTTTTTAGTCTGAGATTGACTCAGTGTGTTAGAATTTACTGAAAAATCTCTGAGATTCACTGATATAAGCTTCTTCAGGTTCCACGGTAATTACCTTTCATCAGTTTCCAGCTCATTCATCTCTCTCTCCATCTGAAATGGTGACGTTGAATGGCTCCCGTACACTGTACCACAACATCAAAAGAAGATTCTTTCCTGACATCACCCATTATTACGCAATGTTTATATATGCTCCACAACCCCCCAACTATTTTCCCTCAAGAACTAACTTTTCTCTTCCTCTTATCAAAACTTTATTGTTCCACTATTATTAGTTACCTACTCATTCATTTAATCATTTTTTATTATATACAAATTCATTTTCTTATTATGATATTGATTATTGAGTAATCAAGTTAATAAATAAAAATTTGACTATATTTTAATTTCTAAATTACAATACTTCAATATGGCAAAAGGAATTTATTTTTTTCTCCTAAATTATACGTGTATATATATAACAATAATGATAAATTTTGACAATAATACAAGATAATGATATATATAATATTATTTTTACTTTTTAACATAAAAGTATTTGCTAAACATTAAAATTTTATACAAAAATTATTTTTTAATCCAAACTAAAATTAAACTTTAAATTGAACTTATTTAAACAAATAATCCAAACTTACACAGTTTTTTTTATCAAACTATATTTCAAAATTTTAATTGTTAAACTTAATTTGACAAGTCACAGGTTTGAATTCTTGCATGTTTTTTTTATCAAACTTCTGGTGACACTTTTTCTGCCTTAGAATAGGATATCGTTTCTTTTTCCTTAAATTTTGTTTGGTAAAAACAATTAACTTGACGCATTTGGACTCACTTAACATGGCTACAGGTTTTCAAGAGTTGATAATTAAATAAAAAAATTAGGATGAAGGTCACTGTTACAGCTTCTCAAATTATATAACGCAGTCGATTAATCATTCTCAAATTATATATTACAGTTCAGCCATATTGTGTCTTTGATCACGAAGCAATTATTGGTGCCAACTTTTGCTTCTTTGGTAACTTTCAGATCATGAAACGTTCATGCAGAAAGACATGGGAAATATTACATATGCTTTTCTCATACATATATATCGGTTAAAAATAGTTTTTTATTAGGAAAAAGTAAGTTCACTTTCATTCATCTTTTTAATAAGAAAAAAATTGTGTCACAATATGCCAAAAGTCTAAAATTTGTCAGCTCTTAATTTCGAAATTATATATATTGAGCTGACATCGTGTTTGCTCATATTATATATACGTATGAGGATAATAATATTCTGCTGGATACTAACATATATATATATATAGATGTGATATTTGGAGATTATTACCAAACAAATGAAAAACAAAAATTAAAGTTGTGATTTATACATGTAGACAAAATTGGCCATCATGGCTTAACAATTAAATCATTATGGGGAGGGGGGAACTTGCAACACAAAATAATGATAAATTTTCAATAATTGTGCATATAATGAATATTGTTAATTCCGATCGTGAATCGAGTCTTTTTAATATAATAATTATACTATATTTCTTAGTTTATATGTGCTTTGGAGGTTTATAGGCAAATAAATATTAATTAGTGTCGTTTCTTACTACCGTTTTGCTGCACCAGCCTCATGCTGCTAACAAAAAGTTAGTGTTTGATATTTTTCTTTTAAAAAAATTAATATTTCTTGGTATCAAATCTGATTTTATATATATTTTAAAGAAATTTCATTATACTTCCATATCAATTTAATAATATAAATACACATTATAGTTCACTATAATGGGTAAAGAGGGAATCGAGACTAAAATTACGTAGCAACAAACAATGTGAGAACATTTATCCTCTATTAGGCTAGGTTTTACGCACATTGAAAACAAACTATCTAATGGAAAATAATTTTTACATAACCGCATCATTCAAAATAAAAGTCGGGTTATAATTCTATCAATTAGTCAAGTATTACGATTAAATAAAATCTCCATAACAGACATTTTCAATAATTTAAAGATTTTATTGTAAATAATTCATTAGTTCTAATCGACAAATATATAGGCCAACATTCACCTACTTAAATAATATTTGTCAAATATTAAAATTATATGGTAATTGTGGTTAGAGTATCAGTGGAGAGTCTTATGAAGTGTTTTGTTTTGAATATAATAGCTTTTGTCTACAAGTGAAAGTTTTCACAAAGTATAGTTTTTATTTTTATTTTTGGTAAAGTTCTATATTTTCATTTTCAATTTTCTCACATAATACCTTAAACCACTCAAAGAGTCATTGATGTGGGTTAATTAATGCACTCGTCTTAAAAGTGTTTTTGTTTAAAATATTTTTAGAAATGTTCTCATTCAAAAATTCATACTCATAAATTAGATATAAAAGTTGATTAAATACTAAAAATAAAAAATAATAATTATGTTCACTTACACGTATTGAAACCTTATAGAAAAGACTCCATTCCAGATGAAATTAACAATTAGAGCCCATAAAGGCAGCTGAAACGAGATAAATAATGGAAATTCGAAGCCTAATAGCCCTTCTCATTCAATGGGGGGTTTCTTATGCCTTAATGTATTCGAAAATCTTTTAATAACATAGTGTTCATTTAGTTTAACGTTCAATAGAATTAATTTTAAGTTAATAAATATAATTAAAAATATATAAATTAATCTGATTATATACTTTATTAAAAAATGATCATTTATTAAAAAAAAAACATGAGAACTAATATTTTAATTGTAAAACAAATAAATCCTTAGACGTCACATCGTGTAAGGTCGAATGAATCAAAGCTATGAATTTTGAGGAGGGCCACAATGGTAGCTAGTGAAATGTTAATACTACCTCTATTATTGTATTTTAAGAGGAAAAGGCAGGGATTGTTGTGCAAATTATGGCATAACATAAGCTTAGAACTACTGAGCCAAACCAAATATAGTATTCAACAGCGCAATAATAACTCCTTTGGCTCTGAAAAGGCATTAGTTATCACGTGATCATGCAATTGCAAGGTCTAAATTATTAAATTTCAAGTTACTTGCTATGAACCTATTGTTATAGACTAGTATACTTTCTCCAAGACTTGCTTTTTTTCAACGTAGGATTTGTGATTTGATAGTCAAAGTCTTGTTAGCTTTCAATTATGGCGTAAAATATATACTTTTAGAACTGTGTTCTTAAACTTTCATGTCATTTTTATTTGTATACTCAACTGTTTGGTTGGGAACTCGAAGGAAGCTCCAACAGTACCGGAATAGTACGACGCTGTACCAACACTAAAGATCCCTCAATCAGCGTTAGCACCGCGAAGTAATTAAATCCACAAAATAGAAAAAAAAAATCATTTGTTAAAGAGAATTTGCATGGAGCTTAGCATTATTATTATTATTTAACCAAACATCACTTTCTCATGTAGAAATTTATGTTGCATTGTAGCATAAATAATTCAAGTAGATCACAGCTATCTTTGGCTTAATAAGTTATTATTAAGGTAAGGTAGTGCATAAGCGTGTTTATAGCCCACTAGGAACTAGGAAAGATTATTTCTTGAGAATTGATTAAAACCATTCTTATTTTTGAGAAATGAAAAAAATTAAGAGACTAGCCTATCTATTTTGCATCAATGTAGAAAATGAAAACCATATATACTTTGTTAATTGTCAGTATTAGAACCCTGTATGAGTATTATTATGAAACTGTCAAAATATAAATAAATTAAATTTCTTTAATTGTCAAAAAATGAAATTTTATATACGTTGGAAATTTGATCTGATAATTGTTTGACATTAAGACGTTATTACTTGTAATACGTGAGAAGCTTAATTTATTAAGAGCTGGACTGAATCGATATTGCAATTGCACAATAGATGTGAGGTATTGAATAATAGGGCTTTACTTGCACGTCTTAGGTTTTCTTTATAAGGTAGATACTGTATGACTTTAGGGGATGGGAAAGTTGACATTCAATTTCAATTTCAACATTCAGTACTGTTTATGTAGGAAATTGGACATCATAAAATTATAAGACCATTGTCAAACTTTATTTCCACATACATTAATTTTCCCCCACCGCGCAAGAGTTGAAAAACAAATCCAGGTTAGTACGACAAGGGTGAATCTATATTTGAAAAGTTGTATTTTTATATTGTTTCTTTTTTACTATGGGACATAGGAAGAAAGAGAGGAAGTGTAATACAAAATAAGTTATTATATTTCTTTTTTTCTAGTAAAGAATAAAGTTTCTTTCATTTTATTCAAATAAAAAATATTTACAGTACGATATTATTAGTTTTCTTAATTATTTTCATACATAAAACTTGAATTCATGACCATGTTTTAAAAATAATGAAACCTATTGATAAATGTGGTCATATATCTTAAGCATGCCTGTTGTTGATCTTAAAGGGAAATAGCTTT